ATACACAAACACACATTGACCTGCATACATAACCACACGATGGCACACATAAACAATCACTGACATGTATACATCGACACACCAACAAGCATACACAAACATATGCTAAAACACAATCATGGACACATATTAACACAGACACACTGACTTGCATAAACATACACACCCACACGTTAACATGCATCCAAAAATTCATGCATTGATATGCATAGATACACAATAACATGCATACACTGACACACATTGACATTCATACACAGATTCCCAATTATACACAGCACAGACACACAATGACACACACACACAAACACACAGATTCACACTAACACATAGGTACAAATAAACCCATTCACACATAAAATATCTATCTTCTCTTGCTTACTGCTCTTTGAGCAAAAATAACTATCCATGGAGTCTACTACACTGCAGTACAGCCTCTCCCCCCCCCCCCACCCTTAGCTCTAAGATAGAACAGATTGAGGGTGACTGGATATGGCATCACAATCCAGTACCCACTTTCATTGACATGTGACTGTGCTTTGGTGAGCCCTGAGGGTAAGGGACAATCATGTGAGTTCAACAGTCAGATATCTTAATTACCCTACTAGGCTCTCCAATGTTTGTGTGAAAGCTCCTGTCTTGTTTCTCCTACATGTGTGTTGCCTCTCAAGGAATGATGTTGAGGTCCAGACACCGGCTCACCCTATTCAGAAGGCAGCACAGGATTGAAGGCATTCCCCCCCCTCCCCCCCATAATAAATGGATCGCCATTATGTATCTTTTTAATAAAACATTTTTTGGTATGGACTGTGATATTTATTGTTCATTTTGTATCCTGTCTTCATGGAGCTAAAGGCTCCTTTCTCTTAAAATTAAATAGTATAAACTATTTAGCTGCATAATAATAATATCTGGAATATTTATGCACTTTTTATTATTTCGAAACCAAAATTTTCAGTATTATAATATTTACATGCTGTGTATAAAAAAATGTGTAAAGTTGACATGGCTCATTTTTCCAATTTTTGCATCCTTAAAGACTTGAGAATGTTATGTGCAGGTTGCCTATAGCCAGCATGGGTAATACTTGACAGCCCTAATTATCCTTCAATCCTAATCTCTTCATAACTAGAAACATTTTCAATGGCTCCATTGAGGAAAGGTTCTAAAAATGATGTGCCGTTATGAATGTAGCATTGTCATAAGATTTCAAAACTATTTAAGGACCAAACTTCTGAAATAAAAGGGAATCATGACATGTCACACATGTCATGTGTCCTTAAGGGGTTAAGGGCAAAATCTGATTGTGTATAATCTGCTATTACTAAAACCCAAATAGTTATTTATTTACTGCAGAAGCATAGCAATTACTTCTTATGTCCTTCACAATCATTAAATAAAAACATCATTAACCTTTTAGCCTGATGATACTAAATTAGTAATTACACGTCTGCTTTACATCCTCAACAAAATAAAAGAAAGAAGGAGGATGAAAAACTCAGGAAGACACATGAGGTCAACACCAAATCTTTGTATTCTGGATATGAGCGCACTTGGAACAATGTTGCTGTGTGATGTTTATAGAACCCCTAGATGTAAACCCTTCTTACAGCTGTGCGACTTAATCTCAACACATGCTACTCCTTCCAGCTGCTTCTTTGCATCATTTGTGAAATGACAGAATTATTTCCATAGTTTATAGTTTTAGATACATTATTTCTGGAACCGTGCGGAAAGGAAAACACAACCCATGTTTTTTGTTTCTGGAAAGCCATATAAATAATCTGCCTATCCGTGGAGCTGTCATGATGGGGCTAGTTCCCCAAACAAAATAATAAGCTGACATATGCTAAATTCAAAACCTTTTGTCAATCTGGAGGCTGCATTGGATGATTACTCAATGAGACTTACTGCCATATAAACACATACACAACACTACAATGGTTGTCTTACTTCAAATTAGAAATAGCGTAATATACACGGAAGCCCACTCTTCTGCATTGTTACCTGTCTAACTATTTCTTGATGTGAGCAAAATAAAATAAAAAATATATATATTCAGATCCCAAGTAACTCTACATTAAATAATGTTACAGATGCCAGAAACAGCAACAGTTGTATAAATTGCACACCACATATTTACTAACCCCAGTTACCCTACACCAGGGGTGCCCAAAAGGTAGATTCCCAGATGTTGTAGAACTGTAGCTTCCATGATGTTTTGTAATTCTAAAGCATTTTTAAAGGCATGCAAAGCATCATGGCAGTTACAGTTCTACAACATCTGGGGATCTATCTTTTGGGCACCCCTGCCCTACACCATTGTCAGGATCCTATCTTGACAACCAGGAATATGTTTTTTTTTCTTCTATTTTAGTTTTTTGCAATACCGGTTTTCCACCATAAGTGGACAATCCTCAGTCTCTCACACCTGCCTAAAATAATCACCTGATCTATGCTATAAAAGGTTACACCTGACTAAACCAATGGGCCTTCACAATGAGAGAATTTGTTGTTTTAACCCCTTAAGGACGGAGCCAAATGTACACATTGTGAACAAAACAAAATGTAAACAAAACCTGGCATTTGCGCTACATGTCTGTCCAACCGTAATACACCTCTTTCATAGTAAATGCACCCACCCTTATTATATATCATTTTATTCAGGGGAAACAGGGCTTTCATTTAATATCAAATATTTAGCTATGAAACATAATTTAATATGAAAAAAATGGGAGAAAATACGATTTTTTTGATTTTTTTAGTTCTAAATTGCATTTTAAAGGTCAGTGTCATAATACTGTTTGATTTTACTGCAATAAAATACACATATTTGTATTTAGTAAAGTCTCACGTGTAAGACAGTACCCCCTATGTACAGGTTTTATGGCGTTTTAGGAAGTTACAGGGTCAAATATAGCACGTTACATTTGAAATTGAAATTCTTCAGATTGGTTACGTTGCCTTTGAGACTGTATAGTAGCCCGGGAATGAAATTTACACCCATAATGGCATACCATTTGCAATAGTAGACAACCCAAGGTATTGCAAATGGGGTATGTCCAGTCTTTTTTAGTAGCCATTTGGTCACAAACACTGGCCAAAGCTAGCGTTAGTATTTGTTTGTGTGAAAATGCAAAAACCGCCAATTTTGGCCAGTGTTTGTGACTAAGTGGCTACTA